GGCAGAGTGTGACCCGGCCGGCCGGCCCCCTCCGCAGCGGGACTGCCACCTCCCCGAGTGCCCCACGCACCACTGGGCAGCCGGCGAATGGCAAGCGGTAAGCGGGGTCCCCCCCTCCGCCCTTCCCTGGGGTCATGTCACTTGTGCTCTCAAGCGTGCAGCGCGGGATGATGCTGGAGACAGGGGGCCACTGATGCCGGAGATCGCTGCCGGAGGGCCAGGGTTTTGGGGTTGCAGCCCAGGCTTGCCAAAAAAAGCAGAGCAAACGCTCATGCGTGCTGGCTGGAAGGGGGAGCTGAGAAATACCTCCGTAGGGTTAATTTATTGCTTTGTGCTGCCCTGTGTTTGGCTGGGACCTATGCAAATATTAAGCAGGTTTTGGGTAGGGTGGATTTGGGTCTGTTCCCAGAGGCTGAGCGATAATCCCCCTCGGACGGAGCCCTGCCGCGCTGCTCCGGCAGTGAGCCCTGTGCGTGAGAGTTTGAAGGAATTGGGGAACATTGGTAATTCCCACTTTCCTGCCCGGTTACCCCGGCTCCTTCTGACAGGTCTCTCCTTTCGCTGAGCTCTGGGTCCATGTTTTTTGCCAAGCCATGAACAGCGCTGAGATGAGATCTCCCATGGGAGACGGTGCTTTTCTGAGTGACCAGGATCAGTTCCCAGCAAAACCAACCCCTTAGGCTGGAGCAGGGGATAAAAGCTGCTGCTCCGGTGGTTCAGGGAGCAACTCTGACTCACCTGCACTGCGGGCAATGGGTGGGCCTGGGTCTGGTGGGTGGCAGGAGGACAAGGGGACTCTGGGCAGGAGGAAGGGGTCCAGGAGGAGCCCTCCCGTCAGCTGCCCTCAGGGTCCTGTGGCAGGCTTTGAGTGCACAACAGGTTTTGGCAGAGAGAGTTCAGATCAGGCACCAAAATGATTATTTTCATTCTGGTTTCGTTCCGTTTTCAGCCATCCCTGGGTGAAAGAGTCCTGCCCCAGTTCTTCTCCATCCCTGTCCCGCTATCCCAGGCTCTTCCCTGCGGTGCAGGGACTGCCAGCCTTGGAAATGCGAAAGGCGATGGAGCTGCCAGCTTGGGGAGCTGATTCCTGTCTCACACAGCCTGCAGAAGAGGCCACCACTCCTATGGAGAGGATGTCCTTGTCACACGGGGAGAAGGGGATTGCCCGTCATGGGCCCTCCACGGGGATGCAGGGGATGGAGAGGGGCAGAAGACCCCCCCCGCCCCCAGCTGCATCAGCCTCCCTGCAAAACCATTCCTGGCCCCAGTGGCAGGGCAGCAGGGGCCTGATCCTGCAGCCTTTGAACAGCAAAGATCCCACTGACTTGGAGGTGCATGATCAGAGCCTGATCCTGGTCACCCTGACGCCTGCAGCGCGCAGCTCTGGGGAGCAGGAGAAATATTAATCAAACAGGGGCCCGGCTTTCATTGGCAGTCAGGCTGTTTTTATCTTGCTCCTGCATGGCCCATGGGGGTCTTGAAGGGGGATGAAATTGGTCGAGGTCCCTTCCCCCGCCGAGACAGTGTAAGGAGGCCGCGGTGTAAATGCAAAACAGGGCCTCCTGCTCCGATAACAAAAGGTGGGGAGGCACCGCCGGCTTCCTGCTCAAAGTCTTGGTGTTCGCAGACACTTCCAGAGCCTGCCTTTATTGTGTTACTGAAAAGAAAAAAGAAAGAAAAAGTGGAGGAGGATAAGAAAAGCAAATTTACTGATGAGAGAGAAAGTGTTTCACGCATGCAGAGGCTGCACAACTTTTCCACTGCAGCAAGAAAAAAATCAAGGTTGAGGCAGCGTGTGCTTTCATCTGTCCTTCCCCACGAGCTCGCCCTTGGCTCATGACTGCGCGGAGCACCCCAGACCTCAGGCAGCCGTGTGTGTGACATTATCCTACATCCCTCCGCCCGCAGTACCTCAGCCTGACGGGGACTGTACGAACAAGTTTACCTTCACTTCCCCGGTCTCGGTGGTGCTGGGAAGCTGTAATGGCTTTATAATCTTGCGTAATGTGGCCACGAGTACATGAGGCCAGAGGGGACTGTGCCCCGATCCCACCTGCCGGGAAGCTGAGGTGTGATGGGATGCAGCAGGAGGCAAAGCCGAGCTCAGCACGCAATGGTACCCGACAGAAGCATCCCAGCCTGGAAAAGAAACATAGGAACAGCTGAGGGGGCTCCAGCAAATTCCTTGCAATGAACTTTTGCTTTTACAGAGCCCGTTAAACTTCTTCAGCTAATAAATTTACAGGTGGCAAAGTAGGTCACCGAACAGCATGCAGCTGCAGTCCTTACCCAATGGTGTAATTAGCC